AGCTTTTTTAATATTTATTCTCTAGTTGTAGTTGAACACAATACCTTTATTTCACTTATTTATTTTTATGTGGTGCTGAGGATCAAACCCACGGTCTCGCATGTGCAAGCGAGTACTGCTGAGCCACAACCCCACCTCCCCTACACTCATTTTTAATGTTTTATTTAGAGGCAGGGTTTTGCCAAGTTGCTTAGGACCTTGCTAAATTTCTGAGGCTGGCTTTGAACTTGCAATTCTCCTGCCTCAGCCTCCTGAGTCACTGGGATTTTTAAATGTCTTCTGCCAAAAAAGCTAAGGAGCACTTTATTCTTCTGAGGACAATCTCAGCCTCTGATAGGGAGAGTGTCTGAATGAAGCATAGATAGATGTCTGGAATCCAGGGGGTGAGGCAGCAGATAATTACATCCTGAACTTCTGCAGAAATACTTTATCTCATAATGAACTCAATAAATGTCCATATTTGTTCTCTGGCTCAATCTGCCCACTGGGTCAAATAGGTGCTGAGGGTAGGACTTGGTATATATCTCTTAACCATGGAGCGATCTAGCTAGACAGATTCCACCATTTATGAAAAAAAGAATTTAATTTATTTCCTATTTACAAAATGTAAAAAAGTATCTTAGGTATAAAAATCTAAATGTCTAAGAGGGGATCAGTCAAGAACACCCAGCTACCACTCTGCATCCTTCGGTCACCAGAGCGTGGTGTCAGGAAGGTGGAGACTAGTAGGTTCAAAGGGTGAGCCACAGCCTCGGCAGAGGGGAGGGGTGCAGAAGGAATGGAACAGGGCAGGAAAGGAAGGAAAGGGCGGAACTGAGGTAGGGGAGAGGAGGCACTACGCACAGGAGTCTGTTGGGGAACTTGTGAGAACACAACTGGCCTAAGCATGTCCTTGGGAAGTCCAGCTATTTCCTGGTGCAGAGGCCGACCCTTCCTGCAGAGCTTCTATCAGGAAGGAAAGGCAGCCATCAGTGTGACAAGAAGCAGTCACCTTCGGACTTGCATGAACTCCTTGCGCAGCCATAGAGAGTCCTGGTAGAAGCGTGGGTCGCCCAGTCTCATGGCCGTCCGTTTGTAGAAGTAGCAGTACAGCACCGCAGCTGGGGACAGAGCAGAGAAGAAGCCTCTGGGGTGACCCTGAGAACTCATTTAAGGGTGGGAACCCAGCCTCCAAGCTGAGGGCCTGCCTCAGGGCTTCCCACTGTCTCCCCGCAAGGAGTCTTCTGTTCTTGACATGACTGTCCCAACCATCCCAGGCCAGCTGTGAGGGGCTACGAGGCCAGGATCAAGGCCAGCACAATAAGTAAGCCTGGGGCTTCTGTGGTCCTTACCCAGTCTCTGGAATACAAACAGCGTTTGAAGTCCATCTGTCCAAACAAAGCTGTTGGAACTTTTCCAGCGTAAGTTCTGAAGAAGATATGAATAGAAAGGAAAAGGTTAATAGCTGCATGTGGCTCTAAGGTCTCCAACTTGTTTAGAGGCAGAGATGCCACTTGGTAGAAATTCATGCTATTCCCCCCTCCTTCCTGCTTTCTGTAAGGCCAAGAAGTGTTTCTTTTTTGTACTGAGGATTGAATCCTTTGTTAGTGGAGCTGCATCCCAAGACCTTTTTATTTTGCTTAAGGCCTGGCTAAATTGCTGAGACTGGTCTTGAACTCACAATCCTCCTGTTTCAGCCTCCCAAGTTGCCTGGATTACAGGTGTGCACCACCAAATCCTGGTTGAAGGAGTGTTTCTGAAAGGAGCCTCAAGCTCCTCCTTTCTTTTTCTTTTAATATTTTTTAGATGTTGGTGGACCTTTATTTTATTCATTTATTTATATGCGATGCTGAGAATGGAACCCAGTGCCTCACATGTGCGAGGCAAGTGCTTTCCCACTGAGCCATAACTCTAGCCCCTCAAGCTCCCTCCCCTTTTTTTTGGTACCAGGGATTGAACTCAGGGGCACTCAACCACTGAGTCATATCCCCAGCCCTATTTTGTATTTTATTTAGAGACAGGGTCTCCCTGAGTTGCTTAGTACCTCACATTTGCTGAGGCTGGTTTTGAACTTGCAATCCTCCTGTTTCAGCCTCCAGAGCTGAGCCCATGGGATTACAGGCAGGCACAGGGAGCTCCCTTTTTTTATGCAAAGAGGATATCCTTTAACCCTGAGGGAGGAAGTCTGAACTGAGGTATTTATCCCTTTTCACTCCACTGCCTTTGCCAAGCAGAAATGATATGGACTGTATCAGGAGTTCTGCTGCTGTCTTGCCTTGAAAATGTCAAGCTCAGCTCCTGTCAGATAAAAGCTTTGGAACACTCAGTGTAATCAGATCAACAGCTTTAGCGGACAAAGCCAGGAGGACCTATTTATGTTCCAGCACCTGGAGTACAAAATCCCTTGCAGGAAGCAGACACAGTGTCACATGCTTGTAATCCTAGCAACTCAGGAGGCTGAAGCAGGAGGCACAAGTTCCAAGCCAGCCTCAACAATTTAGCAAGATCCTCAGCAACATAACAAGACCCTGTCTCAAAATAAAAAAGACTGGGGATGTAGCTCAGCAGTAAAGCACTCCTGGGTTTAATTCCCAGTTTAAAAAAAAAGTCACCTGCTGGTACCACTTTCAGACTTCAACATTGTTCTGTTCCTTCCCTATAAGCTTATTTATCTCCATGAGATCACAAACTCTGTCCCCAGTCAGCTCATCAAAACAAAAAAACTCTAGTAATGAAGGGGCTAGAGACCCTGAGTATTTTGTTTGATTGATTGATTGTGGCTCAGGACTTCATGCATGCTAGGTACAAGCAAGCACCCCACCATTGAGCCATGTCCCCAGCCCAGCCCATCAAAAAAAGATGCACAAGATATCCGGAAATGGAAGAATTTATGCAGTACCCTGTATCAACCCATCTACCCAGGTAGCTAAAACAGATTCAACTTCCTGTTTTAGCTCTGACAGGCCTCTTTGGTGCAAAGGTACACTGAATAGTCCAGGAGAGTCCTTAGACTCTTGGATAAGGCTGTTCTTCAACACAGAGAGTTAGACCCAAGTGCCTTATGAAACTCTCATGTGCCCAGTGCTTTAGCCCATCACTTTATTTCACCTATCTTCCACCAAGGAGGCAGAGGGAAGCACATGAGTGATGCTGGATTCCCAGAGAAAAGATCTTATTAGCTCTTTAAAGATCTGAGAATTCAGAGCTCCACTCTTACCATGACCCAGACATGAAGGGAGATGCTGAGCGCAAAGTACACAGCTGTCAGGATGATGGTCCCTTTGAACTTATGGAATAGGAGGTTGACCAAGCCAGCCTGGAAGACGAAGGTGTTGAAGAACATGAGGAAAATGATGATGATGTTGAAGAGGATTGCAATATCCTGGATGCTGCAGACATATAAAACATAAGATGGCCAAATGTGAGAGGACCCAAGAGCTGGCCCTAAGGCCTAAGGGACATCATGAGATCCGTCCTGCCTTGAGATTTAGTCACCCAGAACCCTCACCGAAAGCATCAGCTTTAGGACCCAAATGACATGAAGCTGCAATTACCCAGAATTACAGCCCACAGACACAATGTGCTCCTCTGACAGTCCTAATTTAATAAACCAATGAGGCATTTCTGAGAACCTGGTTTCCTCCCACACACACCAAATCTGTGTGTCACATAACCTCGTCCTGCCAGATGATTTCATCTGGAAAGACAACAATGGACTTTCCCCATCTTTGGGTGGCCAGTGCCTTCGTGCCATCCAAGTCCCAGTTCAAATGTTCCCCCTCTTTAGAAAAACTTTCCTGCAACCCCATTAACTAAAGTAAATCCCCCCACTCACTGCAGCTAGTTTACATCCAACGTCTGATGTCACTATATTAAAATCTTATTTTGCTATACTCTGCCATTGTCTCTCCAGGAGAAGAGAAACCCTGAGGGGGAACTGGTCAGGTTACCACTGCAACTAGAACACTGGCTTCCAGGCCAATGAATGCTCACTGAACAAAGGAAGTTCCTTCCAGGAGTGTGGTTTGCAGCTTATGGACTGCCTCACGAAATCTGTAAATTATGGTGGAGAATAAATGCCAACACTTTCCATCCTACAGGAGTCATATATTATTAATGTGATTGTTCTTTTTTTTAAAAAAAAATATTTATTTAGTTGTAGATGAACACACAGTATCTATTTATTTTTATGTGGTGATGAGGATTGAACCCAGTGCTTCATACATGCGAGGCAAGCACTTTACCACTGAGCTACAGCCTCAGCCTCATGATTGTTCTTTCAACCTGCTATATTGTAATTCTCTTTTAAGGCAAAGATAGTATTCTATCCCCAGATGAACAAAATGACAGGGTTAGTAGACCTTCATTTCCTATCTAAACTGTTCTCCAACTCTTGATAGATATATATAAAAACAGGAAAAAGAAAAAAGTATATAAAAAGAGGACCTGTGACTACGTTTGTATACCATGAGAACTCAGGACATTGTTAAATTTTATTCTCCCTGGTATCTCTCTGATAATAACTATTTCATTTGGCAGGGACTGAATCTAGGGCCTCATAAATGTAAGTATACATGTAAGTACACATGCTACCACTGAGCTACAATCCAAGCCCACCTACTAATAACTTTAAAAATGCTAAGGCATGAACTTAAGCACGGCCTTCAAACTGCCTAAGTTCAGCTTTCCAGATCTACCCTCTGCACTCACATGAAGAGCACCAACTGGATGACAGGAGCTATTCGGAGTAGCTCTGAGAAGGAATTGACAAAGAGGTCATAGGACAGCAGCAGGAACTGCAGGGACAGCACCAGGCTGTAGTTACTGGTCTGAAGCATCTTTCTTCTGCTTTCTTGGGCCTCCAAGGCAAAATCCAAAAATCCCCTAAAAAAAAGTCCTGGGTCCCCCCCCAAAAACGAAGAAAAAGGGCCTAAGTCTTCCAAATCAAGAGCTGTTGCCCTTGTTCTCAGACAAGGACCTGTTGGGGCAAAAAGAGAGGCAAGGTTAGAAATCCATTAATATAATAAACATTTACTGAGCACCTACTACTGTAAGTCAGGCATGATTCCAGGTGATTGGGATACATTAGTTAACAAAATCAACAACCAAAAAACCCACCTTGTCATTCCTTCTGGGGACCCTCACAGTCAAACTTTCTCCATGCCAGGATCCTTCTAAATGCAGAACTTCTCTAACCAAAAAACCGAGGGGTACTTCAGAGAAGAGTCTGCCTGATCATGTAGCAATAGTAATGTTAACAGCAGTCATATACATCACTTGCAGTGAGTCAGGGACTGTTGTAAGCACTAACATTCAAGTCTCATAATAACCTCATGAAATAGAAAACATGTTTATTACTTTCCCCATTTTACAGGTGAGAAAACTGAAAAGACAAAATAATTTGTCCAAGGTCACAACGCTAGTAAGTGGCAGAACTGGAGTTTTCATCCAGGTGGCCCAGGGTTGAGTCTGCTTTTTTTTTTTTTTTCCTTCTTCTGTTCTGAGAATCAAACCCAGGGCCTCTCACATGTTAGGCAAGCACTCTACCACTGAGCTACATAACCAGAGTGTTCTTAACCCCTGCACTAAGCTGCCTCTTACATAGACAGATATGTGTATATGTAGGTCTATAAGTCTGAGAGACTGATACGTAAGGAGGTAGGAAAAATATGTCCACATGGAAGTGGCAAGGGCAGAAAGAGCTGGGAGGAAACAGTGCTCTCTAAAAAAACTTCATGTTACGGTTGTGGAAGAAATACAGAGGCATCAAGTAAGGGGAGCTGGGTCTTTATTTTCATACATCTCAAGACCCACAAGCTGTTCGGTGATCCTGCAGCTTAGATCAAATCAAATTTTCAATGTGCTTTAAAGAGTTAGAGTGACTAAATTAGCATCTGTAAAAATGTTTAAAATTTACACTCTAAATTTAGCCTGACTAGAATAAGATTTATTCCATGCTTGTACAATCATATCAAAACTTCTACTATAAAAAAGTCACAAATTATTTTTTATAACCACTTAATTCTAGGACTATCCTACAAATAAGCATTTTCATAGACATAATATCTATTTGCATGGAGATTCTAAAAGGTTAAAGCCCTCAACTAGCTCACCGGGTTTAGTCCCACCTTACTGGATGGATGAATGTGGCTTCTCTGAGCTTGAGTTTCCCCACATTAAATAAATAATATTGACAGCTATCTCCCAGGTACCAGCACCAGAATCAACTTGTTAACCAAGATAATTTCTTTTAATCCTTGCAACAACTCTGCAAGGTAGGAAAGAATTCTCCCCATGCTACACCAGGTCCGAGTTCGTCACTCCTCCTGGTCGCAGAGCCAGGATTCCTAACTCGGGTGACGCACACACCACTTCACAGGCCTCTGGCGAGGTCTGTCAGGTGGACACACTTCGCTCTCCCGACTTGGACGCTCATCTCTTCCAGCGTCGGGCGGTGGGGACTCGCGAGGCACAGCCGCGCTCTCCGCCCTTCGTCCACCGCTACCCCGGCCTTCTCCTTTTCTTGGGGCAGCTTCCCGCGTCCTTCTTAACCACTTAGAAAAGGGCTTGGCGTGGCAAAAAGCCCAACCAAAAGGAACGGCAACAAAAATCCAGATTTCTGGACACTCTCCCCACTGCTCATCATTCACTCTCACCTCAAAGAACCAACGTCGGTTGTCATGGGGACACCATTCCGGCTTCCGGAAGCCGGCTTCAAATTCCGGAAGTAGTTGGCGGACGCGGGCTCTTTCGGCGAACTGACCTCGGCTTCCTCTCCCCTCTCTACGGCAACCCAGCCTCCATGTTCGGGCCTTCGATTTCCCGGGCCCGCCAGGTCCTGGCCGTCCCAGCGTCGCCTTTCGCTGACCAGGGCTCCCGCCCACGTCTCAGGAGACCTTGCTTAGGGTCTGATCCTGGCGGCAAGCAGTGCATCAACCTGTACATTTCCGTCTCCTCGATGGGGTGGAAGGACAGGGCAGACGCGTGTGACGCTCCTCGGGCGTGGGGAAGAAACGCCGGTGGAGGAACCGGGTCGGGGAGCCGGCACCTGGCCGCGCAGGGAGCGGGCGATCCCGCGCCCGGGACTGCATTTCCCAGGCGGCCTCGCGCGCCACCGGAAGTGCTGTGAGCCTATAAGAGCGGGAGGCGGCGCCGGGCGCTGCACTGCCAGCTGAACCGGGCTTGCCGGGGAGTCGGACCTCTACCTTCCAGGACACTGGGGAGTGGCGGTTCTGGTGTTGGGCTGAGAGGCGAGTTTCGGAGTACCCGGCCCCGTGGCGTCCCAATGTGGTTAGGGGTGAGAAAGAGCCCGGGGTGGGAGTTAAGGGACCTGGGTTCCACTGCTGACTCCGCTACTACCACTACCTCCTCTCGCGCTGTCGCGACCCCTCGCTTGGCCTCAGTTTTCCCTTTTAGGAAATGGACTCTCTTCTCCGTACCCTTCCTTCCACAGCTGGTGGTAATAAAAGGCACGAACGCTTTCGGAAGCCTCAAAAAGCTGGCGGAGCCCGCACACCTGTTATTCACCCAAGATTTGCTGGGACCGATCGCCTAGCAGAGGAGTCAGAATAGGGCCCCTGGGTGCCTAGAATGGTTAGACCTGACGCAGTCTGAAGGACTGTCTGTGATCCGTGGTGCTAAGGAGGACTTTGCTTACCTACCTCCAGGCTGGAATATTGGGCTACACACTCCTGAATCCCAACTTACGAAGCTACCTTTGGAAGTAAGGAGTCCTAGGAGCTGAGGAGGAGTAAACCACAGTGCCTGTACCAGCTCAGCCGGTCGCCTTGGCCAAGTCACTTTCCTTCTTTAGGCACCAGTGTTAACAGTGTTTTTGATCTGTTAAGATAAAGGGTTAGGGCTTGAACCCAAGGTTTGGGTTTCAGAATTTTTTTCCCCCCAGTACTGGTGATGGAACAAGGGGCGTGCTACCTCTGAGCTACATCCCCAGCACTTTTATAATTTAATTTTGAGACAGGGCCTTACTAAATTGTGGAGACTGACCTCAAACTTGGGATCCTCCTGCCTCAGCTTCTGGAGTGTTGAGATTACAGGCATATGCCATCACACTAGGCTTGAGTTTTAGGATTTTTAAAAGCCCCCCCTATCCATCTATGAAGGAAAAGCAACAAACTGACTCTCTGTCCCTTCATCTGTGGTTGTAAATTATAAAAGTAACATTACAGGAGTTTGAAATAGAGCTTTGTCCTAAGATTAAGGGTTGAATGGTGAATGGGCAATACTTCTTTCTTCTTTGGTACTGGGGATTCAACTCAGGGGAGCTTTACCACTGAGCTACATTACAGATCTTTTTATTTTGAGAGAGGATTTCACTATGTTGCTTAGGGTTTTGCTAAATTGCCCAGCCAGCCCCCAACTGCAGTCCTCCTCCCTCAAGTTCTCCAGTCTCTGGGATTAAGGCATATGTGCCACTGTGCCTGGAGTAGATACTCATTTCTAACTTCTAGGCCTGATCCTGGTTTAGCTCAGTCTAGGGGAATGCTTTCTGCCAAGGAATTAAGGAAAGTATTGGATTAATGAATAGACTCCTTTGATCAGAGTCAATAAACTATAACCCACAGGCCAAATCTGGCCTTCCTGAATGGTTTTTACATGTTTAAATGACTGAAAAAAATTTAAAGGGTAGACTTCGTGATACATGAAAATCATGAAACTCAGATTTTAGTGCCCATAAATAAAGTGTTATTGGAACCCAGTAATGCTTATTTGCTAAGTTATTGTCTGTGGCTGCTCTGCACTACATCAGCAAAGTTCATGACATGGTTGTGACAAAGACCATATGTCCTGCAAAGCCTAAAATATATATTACTTTGTTCTTGCATAAGAGTTTACTAACTCCTACCTTAGGAAGGGGCTCTGTGCAGTGAGGGCAGAACAGGAATGACAGGCACATTCTGGAGTCCTAGCCCAGCCTGCTGTATTACAGCATTTGCATCTAATTTTCACTGCATCCTTCATTTCTTCTGCTTTTGCACTTTCAGGAAGGAGGGCTCTCCTGTGTATTATGAGCAAAGCAGTTTTAAGTTTCCTGCCTTCTATCAGGAAAGTGTCATCATTGTGTCAGAGAGCAGTAAGTAATCTAGGACTTCTAGGGATAGGGATACAGTCCCTTTTGGATTATATTTCTTTACAAAGGAAAAAAATGTAGAAAGAGATACTGTCAGATAGATGGATCCTGCTGACTGAGAGCTCCTTAATGCTGACTTAACATTTCACCAATGGAGTGGAAGGTGTGTTAGCTAAACATGTGGTGACCTAAAGCTTCCTCTGCCTTTGCAGGAATTGGGGAGGCACCTCTGAGACTGGGTAGCAAATCTTTGAGCTTAGTAGTTGAGTCATGAAGCTGGGTGGCATGAGTTTTCTCCTGCCAGCCTTCCTCAAGGAAGCTTGTTTTTCTTCCCTGCCTCAGACCTTAGTCTCTCAAAGATCACTGCTAACTTGGATCATTTTGTAAGAGTCTGTGTCTGTTCCTGCTTAGATGGATGCCCGACGTGGCATGTAATCAGGGCTATGGAGAGGACTAGACAAATGCCAGGACCATGAGCTTTAGATCTTGTTTTGGTATTTTTTTGGTACCAGGAACTGAACTCAGGAATGATTAGCCATAGCCACATCCCCAGTTCCCCCTTCCTTTTTTTCCCCCTTATATATTTTATTTAGAGATGGGTCTCAGTAGATTGCTTACGGCCTCACTAAGTTGCTGGGGCTGGCTTTGAACTTGTGATCTTCCTGCCTCAGCCTCCCAAGCCACTGGGGTTATAGGCATGCACCACTGCACCTAGCTCTAGGTTTTTTTTTTTTAAAATATACAAATATACATATTTTTAATTGTAGATGGATACAATATATTTATTTTGTTTTATGTATTTTTGCGTGATGCTGAGGATTGAACCCAGGGCTTCACACATGTGAGGCAAGTGCTCTATAAATCCAGCCCTAGGTTTTTGTTTTTTGAGATGAGGTCTCACTGTGTGACCCAGGCTGTCCTGGAACTTCTTTGCTCAAATGATCCTTCTGCCTTAACCTCCCCAGGCAAGTGCCACAGCACCCAGCTACCATACATATTTTTGTTAGGATAAAAATCCTATGACAGCAATAACTAAGAAGAGTTATAATGCTTGGCTCTCATATTTTTTTAAAATATTTTTTAAACTGTAGATGAACATGATACCTTTATTTATTTTTATGTGGTGCTGAGGATTGAACCCAGGGTTTCACACATGCAAGGCGAGCGCTCTACCACTGAGCCACAACTCCAGCCCTCATGATGTCTTTATATGTTTCTTCACTTGGACTGACAACCTATGGTCAAGGGGAGATTATGGAGCTATTGGCCTTGGAGACAGGCAAATAGGGCTTTGAAACTCTGCCCACTTACTGGGTCCTGTGCTCATTACTTCTTCTTTCTGAGCCTTGTTTCCTCATGTGTATGAGAGGGGTGACTCTCCTCACAGGGCTGTCAGGAGGAGTAAATGGGACGTGTGTAGATCTGGTGCTCAGTAAAGCTCAATAAATAGTTTTCTTATTGCTGTGCTTTTCTTTCAGATGAAAACAAGTCCTGCAAACGTTAAGTGTTTTGCTTAAGGTGCGCAGTTTGTAAGAATCAGAGGCCATCCATCCCTCTGTCGTCAGCCTACTGCTGGGTCTAAAGGTGATGAACCAGGGGTTGTCCCTCCTTGGGAGTTATTGGCTGTTTCTTCTCTCTGTTAGCTGGTTTAGAGGGAGGGACCTCAACTGAAGGAACTACAGTATTGTCTTCTTGGTGCGAGTCCATGGGACAGGATGACAGCCTGGAAGTCTGGGCCCATGCTGGCCACGTTTGCTGGAAGCAGGGCAGGGCTGGTCCTGTGCCTGTGCCTTTGCCTGCTTTTTTGTTTGTTTGTTTGTTTTAGCACTGAGGGTGGAACCCAGGGCCTCACACACGCTAGGCAAGGGCTCTACCACTGAGCTGTACACCATGTCTTCTACTTGGCTTTCAGGAGCCAACTTCTCAGAGGTGTTAATATTAACCAGGCCTGAACCCAAAGTTGGTTTCTGAGTTTATCAAGTACACACGGAAATCTCAAAATAAACCTCTTGCTTTCTAGACCATGAGTTCTTGGTTCCTCTTTTCTCCTCTGGACTTTCCCTAGTGGATGAGAAAGCAGAAGTCTCAGGCCTGAAAACAGCTGAGCGGTATCACTCAATTCACGGAATGAAGTGTGAGGATCCAGGTGAAGGCGTGATCTTACCTCCCCAGTGGGCATTAGCCCCAAGGAATACTCCATCTGGGGAGGAAGAACTTCCCTTTTGTTTTCTTTTTGCGGTACTGAGAATTGAACTCAGGGGTACTCCACCACTGAGCTACATCCTAGCCTTTTTATTTTATTTTTGAGACATGGTCTTATTAATTTGCCTAGGCTAGTGTCAAACTTGAGATCCTCTTACATCAGCCTTCTGATTCAAGCATATCTGTCTTGAAATATAATTGTTTTATCACAAACAGGATGCTCAAAATGTTCAAATATACAAATACTTCAAAATTCAAAAATCTCTGAAATCTGAAACGCTTCTGCTTCCAGCCTGTAGTGTGTATACCCCTTTCAGGTCGTGCTGTTAGAAGTCAGGGCTTGGGCATTTGCAGTCTGGTCTGGATTTTGATTCTTGTTTCTTCTTGCCTGGGTTGGTTCTGGTGAGGGGAAACTAATCCCAGGGTTCTGGACCAGGCCTTGTCATCCAGCTCAAGCTTGCTGCTCTGTACACTGCCAGTGCTGGGGTGGGGCCTCACTCATTTCTGTAACTAGACATGGAGTCCACTTTGCCTTTGAGCCCTTATGGGGGTGGTACCCAGGCTGATGGTAGGGGAACTGAAGCAAAAAGTTTCCATACCATGGGCCAAGAGAGAGGTCAGTGTTATTTCTGCTAGTTGGTGTGTGAGATACACCTCAGCCAGCAGTGACATGTGATTTCTGCTTCTAGGAGTTCTTAATCAGAATGGCTTCAGGACAGTTTTACCTGTCCTGCCTTGTGCTGGGATCCCTGGGCTCAATGTGCATCCTCTTCACTGTCTATTGGATGCAGTACTGGCGTGGTGGCTTTGCCTGGGATGGCAGCATACACATGTTCAACTGGCACCCAGTGCTCATGGTGTCTGGCATGGTGGTACTCTATGGAGCTGGTGAGTAAGAGGTTGGTATGGGAGGTATGATGGAGCCCAGGCTGGACAGGTCAGCAGTTCCCCTCTCCCAAGGCTGGCCTTTGTCAGTGTTGGGTTTGAGGCTGTTGGGGTAGAGTGGGTTGGAGTGCCACTGGGTCCATTTAGGGGAGGAAATGGTAAGAGTAGGGCATCTCAGAAGAGCAGCCTCACAGATACACTGGGACAAGTGTCAGCAAACTTTCTGTGAACGGCTAGAAAGTAAATATTTCAGGCTTTGCCAGCCATTCATCTATATCACAACTACTTAGCTCTGCCATTGTATTATATGAGTAGCCACAGAAGAAATAGAAACAGGTCAGAAGCTTCCAACTACACTAGAAGCTGAGGAAGAGGATCATAAGTTCAAGGCCAGCCTAGCAACTTAGTCAGAGCCAGTCTCGAAATTTTGAAAAAGGAGTGGGGATATAACTGAGTGTTGGAGCACTTGCAGAACTTGTGTGAGGTCCTGCATTCAATCCCTAGTACTACAAAAGAAAAAAGAAAGAAAGAAAGAAAATACATAAGCAAACAAGCAGCATGGCTGTGAATCCAGTAAAACTTTATAAAAATAGGCAGCAGGTGGGAGTGGGCCTGTGAGCTATGATGGCTGACTCCTGCTCTAAGGCTAATGCTCCCCTGGCATAGGCAGGCCCCCAGCTGAGGCACTTGCTTACTCTTCCAGGATGCGTCTTTGCCTCATTGAAATCTTTGCCTTATAAAATGGGAAGTGAGCCTCATTTCCCCCACTGTAAATGGTAATATCATGATGTTAATAATAGCAGCTTATCATGTGCACTTCATGTATCATCTGTTTTGTTTTTACTAATTTGTGGGGTGGCGTCTATTGTCTCCATTTGATAAGTAAAGAAACAGAAAGGAGAGGCCCAACAGCCAAGAGGCAGAGCCTGGATTTTTTTCCCAGTGCTGGGGATGGAACTCAGGACCTCATGCATCCCAAGCAAGCGCTCTTCCACTGAGTTCACCCCCAGCCCTTTGTATTTTCAAGACAGAGTCTTGCTAAGTTGTCCTGGCTGGCCTCAAACTTGTGATGCTCCTGAATCTCTGGGCTGACTGCTGTGTGCCACTGTACTTGTGGCCCCTTACTCTTTAACTGGCTCTTCTCTCCTCCCTTCATGGCTGCCCCACAAATAATGGGAAGGTGATAGATGCTGAAGACTCGATGCCAGTATCCTAGCATTTCCTCCTCCCCTCGTTGGGAGGCTGGGTGGGATCACCTCAGGGTGATTCCCCTGAAGTGTGGCTGAGCACAGGGGACTGAGGCTGAGCCCCAGGACTGCTTTGTCTCCTGCAGCATCGTTGGTGTACCGCCTGCCTCAGTCATGGGTGGGACCCAAGCTGCCCTGGAAACTCCTCCATGCGGCCCTGCACCTGATGGCCTTTATCCTCACTGTTGTGGGGCTGGTTGCTGTCTTTCAATTTCACAGCCACTCAAATATCGCCCACCTCTACTCCCTGCACAGCTGGCTGGGTATCACCACCGTCATTCTCTTCGCCTGCCAGGTGGGTCATCACCACCCGCTTCCTTTGGGTTCTTTGGGGGTTACTAGCAGCAACTCCAGATAGTCCCTCTGCTCACTGCCTGGAGAGGGTCCTGCTGGGCACCCCCTGTAGACTTGGCAGACTACATGGCTGGCAAGCTGGTGCCTCCTGCGCTTGCCCTGTTCCTTAAAGCCATCATGCAGCCTGTGGGCTACCCCAGAGCCCTCTGGGCCAATTTTGTCATAGCATGTACCATGCTAACTCAGATCAGCCACCTCCTTTCTGCTTTGCTCACTCCTGTGTCTCTTTGAACCAGAAGCAACTGTAGAAGTGGTTTCTGTATTCCAATCAGTCCTGCACTAGAGAGGAGTTTATGAGCAAGGACTGGCAAGAAGCAGACAGTTGAGGATGACTGGGTTTGCTGGGAGAGCAGGACTGGAGCTAAGGGTTTCCTGTACCGTTCTTGCTGCTTGTGTAATAGAAACAGACAGCCCACATGAGTGGCAAAGGATGGTGGTGGGGCAATGCTGGTGGGAAAGAAGGGCCAAGCAACAGTGATGGGCAGGAAGTGCTCGTGGGGTGGATGAGCTGGTGCATCTCATCACACATGGTGTAGTCAGGGACTTCCTTCTTGTGTCTGCAGTGGTCCCTGGGCTTTGCCATCTTCCTCCTGCCCTGGGCATCCCTGTGGCTGCGCAGCCTCCTGAAACCGATCCACGTCTTCTTTGGAGCTGCCATCCTTTGTCTGTCTGTTGCATCTGTCATTTCCGGCATTAATGAGAAGCTTTTCTTCAGTTTGTGAGTGCTCTGGGGTCCCACCTCTTAAGACAGAGGGGAGGCAAGAGGGTTTTCAGAAAATGCACTGTATAATCAATCATAGGACCCCCCCCACACACACACACACGGGGCTGGGCCTATTCCCGATCTGGAAGATGAGAGAATTGGTATTTAAATTGAGACTGGTAAATTGATCAACAAATATTTATTATCAGGTTGATTTATTACCTATTCTGGTTCAGAAACTGTTCTAATTGCCTTACATCTAATCCTCTCAACTGCCCTATGACATTGGTGATGATGTCATGTCACCAATGAGAGCACTGAGGCACAAAGAAACTAAGTAACTTACTAGGAATGCACAGCCAATAAGTGGCAGAACTGGGATTCACTGCTGCCCACTCTTTTGAGGTGGGGGGCATGGTGAAAAGCAAATAAGAGGCTGAGAGGTAGCTGAGTGGTAGAGCACATGCCTATAAGCACAAGACCCTGGGTTCAATTCCCAGGCCTGCAAAAAATAAATAAGTAAATAAATAAGTAAGATTGAGGTCAGCCCTGGGTTTAGATCCTGGCTGTCTTATTTACTGGTTATGTAACTCTGGGTGAGTTAATTTCATCCCTTTGAACTTCAGTTTCCTGATAAGTCAAAAGTATTATATAGAGTTTTGTTATTATAGCAGGGACTTAAAAAGTATGTTAAAATTCCAGGTCACAAGTGGTCCCGAGAAGCTTTTGTTTCCTCTTTTAGTAGCATCAAGTCTCCCCCGGGGCAAAACCAGGTAGAAAAGTCTCTTGAGGACCCACATTGTCTTGTCATCTTTAGGAAAAATGCCACCAAGCCATATGCCAGCCTGCCCAGTGAGGCTGTCTTTGCCAATTGCACTGGGCTGCTGGTGGTGGCCTTTGGGCTGCTGGTTCTCTACGTCCTTCTGGCTTCATCCTGGAAACGCCCAGAACCAGGGATCCTGACTGACAGACAGGTATGGCTGCTTGTCCTCCGTTCCAGGGTGAGGTGCGAATAGGGCCAGTGTAGAGAAGGACCAACCAGGAAGGACGTGGGCCTTGCTGTGAAGACAGGTCCACTAGTCTGGTGAGAAGCCATGTGGCTTGATGGTGGAATTAGGGTGGTTGACAGGGACAGTGGTTTCAGAGCAGCATATCCCAGTAGTGTGGCTGTCCAGGCTCAGCACCTCTCAGAATTCCAACCCCCACCCCAATTCCTGTAGCGCTAAGAGATGAGGTACGCATGGCTTTACCTTCCCTAAGGAAGTTCCTGAGTATGATAAAGGCATGTAGTAACTTCTTCTGTGACAGTTTTGGGGCTAGGTTAGTGGGACTGGTGCTTGGTGACAAGTTGGGTGCTTGTAGCAAGTCTTGCCTGTTCTTGGGCTTCTGATGGTTGGAGGGTGTTAGGGTGTGGACCAGACTTGAGGACTTCGGGGCTTTCCTAAGAGATCTGGTGGCTTGGGCAGGGTCACCCTGCAAGTTGGGGGTCTCTATGAGCAGCTCAGGCCTGCTGTGACTCCTGCAGGTCAGGGGCAGTCTTAACTCCTGTGCTCTGCCTTCTTTCCAGCCCTTGTTGCATGACGGGGAGTGAGCCGGGGTGTCCCAGGAACAGTCAGCAGTTGATCTGTCCTCGCTTCAGAAGCTCTGCTCCACCTGAGCTCCCGGCTGGTCTCAGCAACAGACTTTCTTTGGGACCTGGGTTCAAACTTCTCTTTGCCTTGGTGTCAGGCCTGCTGTCTCCAGCCACTCACTGCCCATTTGCTTTTCTTGGTGGCTTTGGCTTCTCGGCGTTGACTTCAGGGCCTGCGTTTGCACAAGCCCTCCTTACCCCAGCCACTCCTGCTGTGTCTGCAGAAGTCCAGCTGGTTTCCCCTTTAAACTGTTAGGGATGTGGCAGAAAATCCCAACAGCTTGGAAAAACTGGGACTTAACTGCAGCCCTAAAGTGGGCCTTGAGGAAGGTCCGGCTTTCCCGTTGAAGGCATGCATTTCAGTCAGGCCACCCACCAGAGAGCCGGCTTTATCTGCTGTCACCCATCCAGCCCTGGCCAGGTGTGCACCTGGTGGAGGGTGACCGAAGAAGCAGATCTGTGGAGAAGCCTGAGGGAGGGGGGTGTTGGTTGCTCTGAGATAGTCTGTGTGGTATTTTGACCCTATGGCTCCACCTCTTCTAGCTGCTGCTCCAGCTGGGGCCTGGATCTCGCCCTTCTCCTGTGACTTACATGCCTGTCTCCACCAGGCAGCCCCACGAGCCCTGGTAACCTGCTGTCCCAAGAACAGACTACCTGTCACTCAGAATCCTAAGAGTGATGAGTAGCAGAGATTTCCTGGCCCCCTTTTCCTCCCTTGTTGGCAGGCCCAGCCTGTTCTCCTGGCAGGGCCCCAGCCCAGCTGATTCTCCCCTCCAGCTCACCATGAAGCGGGCCAGCATGGCACAGCACTGTGCCCAGCAGTGCCCCAGAGCCATCACCACCTTTGGAGGAGATTCTTGCTAAATACCAGGTGCTCCTGCTCCAGTGGTGCTTGCCCAGGTAGACCTAGCCTCCTGTGGCATGCTGCAGCCCAAGCTTTGCTCTTCTGAGGAGAAAGTGGGTGGAGAGGTGCTGGCATGTGGCTCTTCTTGGATCTCCAAATAAGCCCTGCAGGTCCCAGGCTCCAGACTTCTGTGCTTAGTAGATAAGGATGAGGCTTGGGGTTTGCAGCCCTGTGCTCCCTGGCAGGTAGCCACCAGGTTGTTTACCCCAGTCTCCATTGCCAGATGTTGGCAGAAGGCTTGTGACTGGACTTCCTGGTTGGATGAAAACTTCAGTGCTGCTGGGATGACTGCCAGGCTCCTGGGTCATGAGCAGTTCCCTGTCTCCATATGAGTGGGCATTTTACTTGTTATTGAAGCTTGATTTCCATTAAATGTTTTTAAGAATCAAAGTTCATCATCGTCTGTTCAGGTTGCTTTAACAAATACCATGAATTGAATGGCTTCAGAAAACGTTATTAGGCTGGGTGTGGTGGCACATGTTTGTAATCCCAGTGGCTTGGGAGGAGGGTTTCGAGTTCAGAGCTAGCCTCAGCATCTTAGCGAGGCCCTAAGCAACTCAGCAAAACTCTGTCTCTAAATATAAAAAAGGGCTGAGGATTTGACTCAGTGTTTCAGCTCCCCTGAGTTCAAACCCCAGTACCAAAACAAATAAATAAACAAAACAAAAAAACAAAACAAAAAACAACATGTGTTAGGCTGGAAGTCCAGGATGGAGGCATGTGAGCGGTGGTGTCTAGTGAGGCCCCTTCATCACAGAACTCTTCTCCCTGGAACCACAGGTGGAAGGAGTGGAAGGAGCTCTCAGGGCCTCTGGTAAATGAAGACACTACGCCCACTGATGAGGGCCCTACCCTCATGACCCGATTACCTTCCTAAGTCCCCACCTGGTGACCCCATCACCCTGGGGGTGAGGATTTCCACATGTGAATTTGGAGAAGACAAAACATATCAAAAGCTGTCTCTGCTGAAATGACACTGCTGTTAATGAGCCCTGGGGCAACTTGTAATAACCTCAGGGGCTGGGGCTGGGGCTGACTGGTAGAGCACTTACTTGGCATGTGTGAGGCACTGGGTTCAATTCTTGGCACCATGTATAAAGAAATGAATAAAATGAAGATTAGAACAAAATCTCAGGACATGTCTGACCCTCACAGATAGACCTAGGGACAGGCCAGCCACAAGGTACTAAAAATCCACATAGTTGTGTGTCTTCCTGGAATTGCATGTGATTCATGTATGTGTGGATGTCCTAAATAGTGGTTTTTGGGCACTGGCTCATCTTATGAGGAAGGAAATGTTTCCTGTTTTATAATCTAGAAAACAAGACTCAAAAAGGACAAATGATTGGCCTGAGGTCACCAGTCAGGAAATGGCAGAATTGGGATGCACAGTCTGCTGCCAGCCTTCTTCCTGCCTGCTGGGCACATACCTGTACATGCTGACACCAATCTATGGTCAGGTACCTGTGACATGGCTGGGCAGAGAAGCTCAAGAACCAGGAGTCAAGTTTGGGTGAAACAGGTGCTGGGGGTAAAGGGGCCCTTTTCCTAATGTGATCAGCTGTAGATGCCACATGGTAGTGGAATGGACGGGAGGGGCAGGTGGCTGACAATAGTGATAACACTAACTCTCAGAGCGCGAGTGCTCAGTCTGCACTTGAATCACCTTATTGGTTCGCTTGAATCCTTTCCAATCACTATAAGATGGGCGCTCTCTTCTGACTTTACAGATCACAGAGGCATAGACCTAAGTTCATGCAGCTGGTTGAAAGCAGAATCAGATTTCAAACCATGGATATTGGAGTCTATGGCCAAGTGCCTTCAGCCACTCTGTGTTGAGAACATACAGGTGTGGCTGTGTGTATGTGGTATCTCTTATCAGCGCCACTCAGCAGTCCCTCCTGCCAACTGGGGTCCAGGGACCATCAATGATTGTTCTAGAAAGAACCAGGGGCTGGCATGGCTACAACTTCTGATCTATAGCTGAGCTTTAGAGTACAGTAATTTCTTTTTTTTCTGATGTCCCAAATGCCCATCCAATCCCTAAAGACCCACTAAACTGTTAATCTGGTTAAAAAAAAAAAAGTCTTAGGCACGTCAGTGCGCTGTGTGTGTGTGGGGGCAGGAGGATGGGAACAGAACCAGCCTGGCAGAGCAGAGCCTGCCTTGGGCACAGGTAGCGACGGAGGGTCTGGGAAGAGGGGGTCATGATCACAGCAACTGGGGCAGAGAATCCTGGGAGAAGGCAGTGGCTTTATGGCTTCACCATGGTTTATTAGCTTTCTTTTCCACACTGACTTGGTTTCAGGTGCAGAGGCCTTTTACAGGGAGAGGTTTGGAACCTTAAAACCAAAGGCCAGCAGGATGCTTTATCACTGAAGCTCAGCTGAGTGGGGAGAGCCCAGGGGCTCCACCCTCCCTGAGGCGGGAAAGAGCAATGCTGGAGGGAGGGTTGGGGCCCACTCCAGCTCAGGAGCTGTCTGCGGTGGAGCAGTTTTTAGAGACCTGGTAGAGGACAGGCCCTGCGGTCAGAAAGGGGGAAGGTGACCACTGAAGGCAAAAAGAAGTGACGTCGAGCACTGCAGCGCAGCAGTGAGAGAGGAGCGGAGGCCGAGGGAAGCCATCACACACCCTGGCCCTGCAAGACCTCCAGGATGGCACGGAGGATGGCGGCAGCTGCCACTGCTCCTGGGTCTGGCTGATCCAGCCGCGCAGAGCTGATGTAACTGGCTCTTCCAGCTCCAGCTTCCATGTTCTTGGTGGCCTCGGCTGCAGCTTCAGCACTCTGAGGGGGCATGGGAGTGGGCTTAGGACAGGCTACCAGGCCTCTGCCCTGCAGCCTGACCCAGCGGCCCTCTGCCCTATCACTGAGTGGAGAGGTCACCTTTCACTTCCTTCTAATAGAGAGGGAAAGGCACACCATTTACTGCCGCCCTGCTGTGTCCCAGGTTCAAGATCTCATTAGTCTCACAATCGCCTTCTGAGACAGAGACTCATCCCCATTTTACAAAGGAGGAAACAGAGGCACATGAAGGTGACTAACTTGCTTGAGGTCACATGGAGATCCATGCCTGTCTCCCTGGGTGGAAAGCCTGGCCTAACTCACCTTGACAGCTTTGGTCAGGACTTGTAAGAGATCAGCCCCTGGCTTCTTCCAGGCTTGGAGCTCCTGTCCTGCTGCCCACAGAGAGTCCAGCTGGAGAAGGTGAGGAGACAGGGGCTGAGAGGGGCCTTCCCACTGAGGATGGCCTACAGGGCTTGTAGGCTCAAAGGCGGGAAGGAGGGTAGGGGGCACTACCCAGTACACACCATAGTCCTGTCCCCTGGCGCAGCCTTCCCATACCTGGCAGGAAAAGAGAATGAACAAGGTCTGCTGTAGGCAGTCACTTTGGAGTGGGGACAAGGACTGGGGATAGGAGCAAGTGAAGTCCATCAACTACCTCCCCCAGAACACCCTGGGCTCTAAGAGACAGGGCTCTGGCTCACTTCTGCATGGCCTCCAGGCCGGCGTCCATGGCAAGAGACCAGGCTGGGAGGTCAGTGTTGGCCTTGAGAGGCTGGGCAGCCGCAGTCAGAAACAGGCCATAGAGCTGGGGAGGATGCAAAGGTTAAGCCTGTGGAGCTGGCCTAGGGCCTGGCCAAGCTGGCATCCTGCCCGTCAGCCCTCTGCTCCTGAGGTCGCCGACACTCACCGCCCCAGAGGAGCCTCCCATCTTTTCCAGCAGCAGGACGGACAATTTGGAGAGCACCTGTGCAGGACTGGCAGGAGGTGGGCCCTCCTTCAGCCACCCCTGGATGGCTGCAGAAAGAAAGTGCTGTGAGGGATTCAGCGTGCCCCAATTCGCTCTCGCCCTGGCCTGTCGCGCTGACAGCTTACATGTTTTATTGATTGGTCTTATTTACTGAGGGTCATCCAGTAATCACCTTCTTTTTCTTTTCTTTTGCTTTTGGTATTAGGGATTGAACCAGGAGTCCTTTACTACTGATATCCCTGCCCTTTTTTATTTTTTATTTTGAGACAGGGTCTTGCTAAGTGGCTTAGGGCCTTGCTAAGTTGCTGAAGCTGGCCTCAAACTTTCGATCCTTTGGCCTCAGCTTCCTGAGTCTCTGGGACTGCAGGTATGCACCACCATACCTAGCAAGAGTGGTGACTTCTGTGTGCTTCATTCACTCTTTTTTTTAATATTTATTTTTTAGTTGTAGCTGGACACAATACCTTTATTTCATTTATTTATTTTTATGTGGTGCTGGGATCGAACCCAGGGCCCCGCGCATGCTAGGCAAGCGCTCTACTGAGCCTCAATCCCAGCCCCTTCATTCACTCTTTTAATCACAGACACATGAACATGGCCCACAGGAAGCACTGAATACATTTTTCTTGAATGAGTGATGCTGGACCATTAAAAGATTTCACTGGTGTAGGCAAACTGAGAAAAAAAGGGATGACAGATGAGTCTGGCTTGAATCTGTTTTTATTCAGTGTAAGGATTCCATTTTCTTGTGAGACAACAACCTCCCACATTGGTAGTCCTTCCCTCCCTCCCTCCCTCCCTTCCCACTAGGCAAGTGCTCTACCACTGAGCTACACCCCCAGGCCAAAGTACCTTTTTTTGAGGAAAATAGGTGAGAGGGGTGCTGGGGTTCCACAAGTGACCTTATTTGGCAAAGAAAAAGGTGGCAACCCAACAACTCTCTAAATATTTTGGAAGCTACTCTGTTTCATAAAATGCCCAAATCTAAGAACCAGTGTGCCATACCATCCCGTTGTGACCCCAGAGGGCCCTGGCACCAACCTCGAGCAGCACGGCTGTGGGTGGTGCCACAGTCGCCATCACCAGCAGCCCGATCCAGGGCATTCAGGCGTTCCTCCAGGCCCAGGAGGGTGGTGCACACCCGCTCCAGCACAAGTACCATCTGCTTAGAGGCTACACCTGGAAAAGGAGGACAGTGGCGCAGAGGACCACCTGGCCCTTCTCAGGACCAATCCTGTCATATGTGGGAGGGATGGGTGCCAGGACTCCTGCATAGCTCACAGCACGCTCCTGCACCCTCCGGGGCCCAAGTCAAAGCCCTGTGTCACCAATGATGCCTGCTCCTTCCCCAGCAGCAGGGTCTGGTACCTCCTGCAGTGGCGGAATCATGGGTCTCCTTGGGCTCCATGGGGGCTGCCCGGCTCCGCTTCCGCCCAGTCACAGACATCTTGGCCACATTAGGCCAGGCTGCAGCAGTGGTTTCAGCATCTAGGGACAGCAGGACAACTCGGGCATAACTGGCCAGCCAGAGATCAAGCAGAGTCTGGACTCCCACCCAAATCTGAGGCCTGGCTCCCTTAGCAGCCAGGAAGAGGACTGCACACTTTGACAAGGACGTGCTGAGAGGCTACTGTGCGGGGTGC